TGTCACTCACATTTCATGCTGTGCTCCTGGAATGTAATAAGGGGCCAGGTGCAAATGGCTGTGTTTATGGGAAAACTAATAAGATATAATGAATAAAGCAGGCGTTCTGTGTAAATCTGCTATACAGTAACATGTTTACACAATTTCCTATTAACATCCCAGCTAACGGTGTGTTGGACTCAGAAATAAACACTGTTACGCTACGATGGTGGCCACACGCGCAGGGGGTTAATGCTGGTGCCTTGCGAGCCAGGTTTTCTTTATAGGAGAAGTTTTAATCTTGGGATATATGTGACTGCTCTGAATAAAAAGCATATTGCCTGATTTTACATCTTTATTTCCCATCAGACAAGCAGTGATGTCTTCCCTGCTAAATGGCACCACAAAATGTCTTCCCTGCTAAATGGCACCACAAAATGTCTTCCCTGCTATATGGCACCACAAAATGTCTTCCCTGCTATATGGCTTTTCCTCCCAGCATGACAGGGTGAGGGTTACACAGTGATGGGGGACTCGGTTTTCCCAACACCGTTTCCAGGATAGTGGGTTGGGGTCTAGATTGCTACAATTCTTGCCCCCAATGTCTGAGAGAGTGTGCCTCTGTATATTGCATCCCCTCAGCCATGTGAGACAGCTTGGGAGGTTAGTAAATTGAATGTGTTAACTCCGTACATCTTATTACATACTGTTAGAAGGCATACAGGGTTAATTCCGTACATACTGTTAGAAGGGATATAGGGTTAATTCCGTACATACTGTTAGAAGGGATATAGGGTTAATTCCGTACATACTGCTAGAAGGGATACAGGGTTAATTCCGTACATACTGTTAGAAGGGATACAGGGTTAATTCCGTACATACTGTTAGAAGGGATACAGGGTTAACTCCGTACATACTGTTAGAAGGGATATAGGGTTAATTCCGTACATACTGTTAGAAGGGATACAGGGTTAATTCCGTACATACTGTTAGAAGGGATACAGGGTTAATTCCGTACATACTGCTAGAAGGGATACAGGGTTAATTCCGTACATACTGCTAGAAGGGATACAGGGTTAATTCCGTACATACTGTAGAAGGGATACAGGGTTAACTCCGTACATACTGCTAGAGGGGGTTATACAGGGGGATACAGGGTTAATTCCGTACATACTGTTAGAAGGGATACAGGGTTAACTCCGTACATACTGTTAGAAGGGATACAGGGTTAACTCCGTACATACTGTAAGAAGGGATACAGGGTTAATTCCGTACATACTGCTAGAAGGGATACAGGGTTAATTCCGTACATACTGCCAGAAGGGATACAGGGTTAATTCCGTACATACTGTTAGAAGGGATACAGGGTTAACTCCGTACATACTGCTAGAAGGGATACAGGGTTAATTCCGTACATACTGCTAGAAGGGATACAGGATTAATTCCGTACATACTGTTAGAAGGGATACAGGGTTAATTCCGTACATACTGCTAGAAGGGATACAGGGTTAACTCCGTACATACTGCTAGAAGGGATACAGGGTTAATTCCGTACATACTGTTAGAAGGGATACAGGGTTAATTCCGTACATACTGCTAGAAGGGATACAGGGTTAATTCCGTACATACTGCTAGAAGGGATACAGGGTTAATTCCGTACATACTGTTAGAAGGGATACAGGGTTAACTCCATACATACTGCTAGAAGGTATACAGGGTTAATTCCGTACATACTGTTAGAAGGGATACAGGGTTAATTCCGTACATACTGCTAGAAGGGATACAGGGTTAATTCCGTACATACTGCTAGAAGGGATACAGGGTTAATTCCGTACATACTGTTAGAAGGGATACAGGGTTAACTCCATACATACTGCTAGAAGGGATACAGGGTTAATTCCGTACATACTGCTAGAAGGGATACAGGGTTAATTCCGTACATACTGTTAGAAGGGATACAGGGTTAACTCCGTACATACTGTTAGAAGGGATACAGGGTTAATTCCGTACATACTGCTAGAAGGGATACAGGGTTAATTCCGTACATACTGTTAGAAGGGATACAGGGTTAATGCCGTACATACTGCTAGAAGGGATACAGGGTTAATGCCGTACATACTGCTAGAAGGGATACAGGGTTAATGCCGTACATACTGCTAGAAGGGATACAGGGTTAACTCCGTACATACTGCTAGAAGGGTAGTAGCTTGCCCAATACTCAGCAGAAGATGTTTTTGTGTGAAATTAAAGCCAGATGTAGTAAGGAAAGTGGAACTAGATTAAATAAATAAAAAGTTATGATGCGTTCAGCACAAACAAGAAAATCTAATGGAATAAAGAATCTGGGATTCAGGACGGGAGGAGGTATTCACATAATAATAATAATAACAACAATGATCATTAATGGATGTTGCTGGTTTCCAGATGCATCCTGGGATCTCATGTCTCAATGTATTGACTCAGAAGGGAATATTATTACTCAACTTAATGCTATTGAGTTTATCGAGCTAACACCCGACATAACACACATAGATTATGACACCGTTAGAACAGATTAATAAAATAGCGAAACGCATTAACTAGAGATTCACGTAAGCCTATATCATGGAAGTGGTGAAAATTCTGACCAAATAAAATAATAAAGAAATAAATGTTTTCATGAAGTAATGCAATAAGCACACGTCCAATATTATCCACTATTAGATAATTAGTTACAGAGGAACCTACTATTAAATTATCAGCTGACAATGGTTGGTATATTATTATTATATAAAGTTCTGGTGTTAGACATTTTGATACATTTTTGGAAATGTAAATATTGCTTATTTCGTGCTAATAGTTTTACAAATTTCGGTAGTAATTTGTCATTAAAATTGAATAAAGAAATCGTAGATATCTTCCTTAAAACGTATCAGACATAATATCACTGCTCAATGGAATGCTGGGAATGGACCAACTCATCTCTTTCAATCTGAGGTTCTGATTGTCTGCTGGCATCACGTGCTCTAAGCTGTTTTTGTGTGAAATACAATGGCCAGACAGCCAACTGCATTGTGAAAACCTTCAGATCTTACCCACCTGGTAAATTACCGATATTCTCCTAGTATCGCTTTGAGGAAAATAATCTGTTTCAATTGATTTATAATAATTGTTTTGAGGTGATAAATCATTTTATCTTCTTATCCGATTCTGAAGAAGGAGACGTATCATTGTGTCAGTAACGCTGTAGCCAGTTATTATTAATGAGTGAATTAACTCATAGTGATGAACAACTACCAGCATTCCAAAGGACTGTTTGTAGATACTTTTTCTACATGTCAACATTTCTAATTTAACCCCTTAAGAACACATGACGTGTGACATGTCATGATTCCCTTTTATTCCAGAAGCTTGGATCTTAAGGGGTTAAGGACAAAGTTGTCCAAGTGGAGTAATTCTCCCAGTCAGTTACCCTTCCAGTTAGTGTGGTTTTATCGGCCTTAAATTCAAACATTAACTTTGAATTTACCTTGAACACTTGCTATAATGAATAGCTGTGACAGACTCATTTCTAAACAAAATTAGTGTTATTACACCTCAAATGTATCATGAAATCTCACTAGATTATATTAAACAAAGTTTGTATTATTACACCTCACTGTATCATTAAATCTCACTATATGATATTAAACAAAGTTTGTATTATTACACCTCAAATGTATCATGAAATCTCACTATATTATATTAAACAATGTTTGTATTATTACACCTCAATGTATCATTGTAACGGATCACCTGGCACCCCGACTGGGTACCTCCGTTGAAGGATGCTCCTAGCGCTTACAGAGGGCTCCAAGCGCTCTGCCAGACACCACAACCACCGTAGACCCCACAAACCGCCGCAGCTTGGTTGGGTTCTCGCCATCTCCTACCCACTCGGGACCTACGACAAGGATCCAGGTTCCAGTGGGTGAACCTCTCCTCCAAGAGAGTGAAGCAGGAACAAGCTCTTAAAAGAGCTTAGTAGTGATTAGCTATCCCTTGTAGTGATATAGCAATTCCCCCAATAAGATAGGACTCTAGATTGAGGGTGAAGTAGAACTGTCTGTACTGGCACATACAGCCTCTTTTTTCTGGTTGAACCACATATCCAAAATTCACCCAGATCCGTTCGCTAGTTTGGAAGATGCAGTTTAATGCAGATTCTGCAGAACATATACAGGCTATATGAAAAATAATTACTGTATAATGTGTCCCCTGCTGTATAGTCCAAAACCACTGCACGATGTCTCTGTGCACCAAATACTGGCGAGATGGCACCGTGTAGAAAAGTCAAAACAGTGTCTGTGAGTTAAAATGGCCGCCATCCATTGTTCTCACCATGTGCTTCATCCATTGTTCTCACCATGTGCCTCTGATATATGAAATGGTGGCCACCCAGTAACTCCACATTATGTCCCCAGATGGTTCTTAAAGGGCCAGCAGCAGCATAATAAAGTACAATATGCCCAAATCAGTTCCCTAAAGGGCAATAAATCCCAGGGCCATAGTTGCACGGCAGGAGGCTGGCAAACAGGCCCCTCCAAAAAACAGTGGCAAGGTCACTTTCGCCACATATCTCCCCTTTGGGGGGTAGACTAACCAGGTACCTGACCTTCTGTCAGTCGGTGCCTGAGTATTTCTGACAACCCACCCACAACAGCAAAGTACAAGAAGAGCCCCCCCACAACAAACTGGTACTTGGGGGACAGAGGTCCACTGCGCTCTGCCCCGATGTCAGCGCTTCTGCTGGGGCAGCTGGGTTAGGCCTTGGCTGGGGAGGGGAAATAGTACTTACTCCCTTCTCCTGGTGTCCCTGCGAGGGTAGTTGGGGATCTGGACAGGCTGTCCAGCATCCCTGTAGGTCGGGTGCAGAGACCACGGTCCCATCTGTACCGTCTGGGAGATTAGTGTCTACCCTTTGTGGGGTAAGCTGCCGCTGGGGAGGAAGACCGGTTGTCTTCTCTCCCTGGAACTCACTCTGCCGCTGGGGAGAAAGGACGGCACCTTCGGCTCCCTGGGGGGCACACTGCCGCTGGTGAGGAAGGACGACTCCTTCGGCTCCCTGGAACTCACACCGCTGCTGGGGAGGAAGGACGACACCTTCAGCTCCCTGGAACTCACACTGCCGTTGGGGAGGAAGGACGACACCTTCAGCTCCCTGGAACTCACACTGCCGCTGGGGAGGAAGGACAACACCTTCGGCTCCCTGGAACTCACACTGCCGCTGGGGAGGAAGGACGATACCTTCGGCTCCCTGGAACTCACACTGCCGCTGGGGAGGAAGGGTGTAGCGGAGTAGCAGGGGTTAATCCAAGGATTCTCAGCTGGAAACAAAGATTCAGCATACAGAAGTATAAAACACAGCAGAATCCCTATCCCCAAGGACTAGACGACACATAGTCTGGGAGTCAACTGGCTTTTAATGCACAAGCTCTGCTTTTATGTGTTTTTCCCATGCAAGGGAGGCAACTTCCATAATTATTACAGTATCCAATCACATAGTCGGTACCTTCCCCACATCTCCTCCCCTTAGCTTAACAGTTAAACTTATTAACATGTACACGTTTTTCCCCAATTCTTGGATGTACCCTAAATACAGGGGGTACACCTTTAAATGAGGGATCCCCTGGTAGCCCTGATCTGGGTGAGAAACATACTCAAAAATCACCCAGATCGGACAAGGGGTTCGGGAGTTATTGAAGGGAAAAGATTTCACCGACCGCACAGGCACAGTAGCCGAAAATAGTTCCATGAGTTCTGGCCCTGCGGTCGGTCTCAGTTCACGTATAAAAAGTCCCGAAAGTCTTTGCCATCCATGCTTGACTTTGCATTCGGATGAATCCCCTAGTTCGCGGGATTCATCCTACCGAATGCTGGGCTGTTCGTGCCTTTTATTCGTCCCTTTCCGGAGTGCTGGAGGTCTTAGCGGTGCTTGGTTAGTCGAGTGTCCGATTTGAGTTCCAGACACTCGATGACCAAACACCGCTGTTCATGCGTAAGATGGCCGCCGCCACGCGTTCGGCAGGCGAATGGCGGCCGCACACGAACCTCAATTACCAGCCTTTGCAACATTGTTGCCTTCAGTAATGAGGGACACACGACTACACGGGGGTGGTCCCTTATTCGGTATTTTACACGTTTTCGTGGATAATGCAATGGATGTAGTTCGTGAACCGATTGCCTGAAGATAACCGTCCTAATAGCAATACGGCCATTTTAATCCAAGTTCATTCGAATCTCGAAAGTCCTTTCTCAGTCTCTTGGTGGCTAGGTTTGCCACAAAGGGTGACACCTTCAGCTCCCTGGAACTCACACTGCCGCTGGGGAGGTAGGACGACACCTTCGGCTCCCTGGAACTCACACTGCCGCTGGGGATGAAGGACGACACCTTCGGCAACCTGGAACTCACACTGCCGCTGGGGAGGAAGGATGACACCTTTGGCTCCCTGTAACTCACACTGCCGCTGGGGAGGAAGGATGGCACCTTCGGCTCCCTGGGACTCATGCCACCGCTGTGGAGGGAGGTCGATGCTCTCCGCTCCCTGACACTCACTCTGGGGTTGGGGATCTGGGCCGACTGCCCAGCATCCCTGTAGGGCTGGTAGAGAGACCTCTGTCCCATCTCTACCTTCCGGCTGGGGTTCCTCCTGTAAACCTCTACGATATCCTTCCAGCTGAAGGGCTCTAGACCTGGTTCTGCTACCCAGTTCTCCGGCTCTGCTTGCAGGGTAGACTGGGGCTGAATGGCGCAGAGCAGGCGTTGGTAGGCCTGCTCCAGTTCCCACTCCATGGTTGCCAGGTGCATCATGTGTGGTTTCACCGCGCAGTCAACAGACCAATCGTGCACGCCCATCCTGTAGTCAAGGATGTCCCAAAATTGGAAATCCTCCGTGCTGCTGAAATCAGGCTCCTCCACCATGGCATCCAGTAGTAGACCAGGACCATCGTATTCGTCCTCCTCAGGCCTGTCATGCTCCTCCATTCCGGGGGTATGCTGTACTGTATACCACCCTAGGGCCTGGTAGGCGTCCTCCAGCCAAATCTCTATCCATACCAGTCTCTTGAGCTCTGTTACCCACTCATCCAGCGGCTGCTCTCCCAGGAAAGACATTCGCAGAGCCACTTGCCTCTGGATTCGCTGCTCTTCAGTGGGGAGCCTCTCGCCTCGCTGACGCTGCACCTCCTCCAGGTCCTCGTCCCAAAGTTGCTTTCTGGCGGCCTTTCTGCTTTCCGGTGGCCTCTCGGTAGTACATCATAATAAAATAAGCTGTAATGATACAATAAGCTGTTCTGATACAATGATCATTAGTGTTTATGAAGATTCAACTGTCTCTATAATGAAAGCCACCAGTGGATATTGAGAGGTGATTCCTGTGCCAGCCCTCTGCACCCCCTCCCCCCCACACCTCCCGTGTCAGTTTTGTGTAGCTGGGCCTTGTTGCTGTGTATGTGTGTTGTGTCCAGGCCTTTGCCACTCTGTCCAGCATCTGAATGTAATCCTAAGCAGGACACCCCCAAGCAGGCAGCTGTCAGGTGAGGGAGGGGCGGGAATGGTGTCCCTTCTTTACTAACTATTTTGGGAGATGGTGTATTAACGCTTTAGTTCCCTGTTAAGCACTATCTTTAGTGTAATGTTACAGAATTTAACCTTATGCTAAGCAAACAATAGGCTGCAATATTTGGCTTGGACTAGCTTGAGACGCGCATGCAGGCAGATATATGAAAAATCAATCTACGCAGTTTGTTTGATAAATTGGGAATCGTGGAAACGGACCTGGGAATTGCAAATTCTAGGAATCAAAAAACTTTGCTGGAAAAACAGCTAAGTTTGAGAATTTTGTACAATTCCCTGGTTAATTCGTGCCGTCCCTGATTTAGACAATAATCCCACTACATGTTTCGGAGTAGCGGACCGGTACAGCCTTCGTGTTCTGGTGCCTAATTCCAACATTCAGTTATATCTTCCAGAAATATAGACAGAGGTAAACGTTTCAGTCGCAAATCACCTTCATCAAAACTACCTGCAGAATGTTTGAAAAGTCAAAAACGGGACTATACAAACCACTAGTGACTGGCCCCATTATCATGTGCTATTATGGTAACGTCACACCAAGGGCCTGCTGGGGCAGAAATGGTTCATGTAGGCTGTTGATGATAAAATACATTGGTGGATTATTTGCTGAATCCTTCATCATTAACTAAGCACAGAGCTTCGCATAATGGGGTGCTGCACCCCTACATGTCAGCTGCAATGCACAGGCTAAGCTACAACTCGTTATGTTGGGTGGGTTTATTTTATGTTAAACTTCTTTATTTAATTTCTTTATTAAAAATAATAAATTTTACTGCATAAGCCTTATTCTTTGCGCCCCACCTACAGTGCAAAGAATACTGCTCTACATGATGTTATCACTTAGCGTCATGGGAGCTGTAGTTCATGTGCTAGCCTTCTGCAGCAGAAAGCTGACAATCACACTACAACTCCCAGAAACCCATGCTTCTCCCAGAAAGCACTGCTTGTCAAATAATTACAGGAATGCTATTGAAAGCTAAGTGAGCAGGACATTCAAATTTGAATATCTTTTCCTATTGGTAATATATTTATAAATAATCCATTATATAGATAATTTGCAATGTAATAAGTGTTCAGAGTCCTGCTCCAGTCCCTGATAGTATGACACATGTTTAATATGCCACTATAGAGGGTGGAGGCGTTATATTAATGAAAACGTTCCTTTTACTCTATAGTAAAGCATAGAGTATGGATTACATCTCTCTATTTATGTGAAAATCATTTAAACATAAAGATATAATTTAGTTATATACTGGGGGTATCTGTCTTTTATACGGAGTTCAAAATATTTTGAATTGACTAAATTACGGTATTTTAAAAGTAATCTGAAAAACATGGCCTTTCTGCTTAGAAAATTCTGGCAGTAGGTAGCGTTACAGAACGCCAGAGCACAGGATAGTGTTGGTATTTATAAATGGAAAGCAATGCGCCATTCAAAGAAAAATGTAATAAATAAAATAGTGAAAAAGACCATCGGATTGACAATCCATGCCAGATAAAGACCATTCACAGCAGATAAACATCACAAAACAATGGCAATTATTCGAGACATTTCTGGCTGCTGTGCTGAGCTGTGCTGAGCTGTGCTGAATGTTGGGTATATTTCTAATGATTTATCTCCTATTTCAATCTAGAATTGATTACATTTGCATTGCGATAGTGGGCATCGTACAATGCATTATACAGAATTAATGGCACTGGGTGCAGTTTGTGTAAACGGGCAGAGTTATAGCGTATGGTTTTTTAATTATGTTTATATTCCTGCTACGCAGATAACACCATTCTTACTATGGCAGCAAAATATACAGTGAAGTTATCTAGAAATTATGCATTCTCGAAATTATTTGTATAAATCATGGGGTATCAAATTCCCAAACAGTTATCAAATCAATTCTCTATTATCACAGCTGCCGTCCTCTCGTGTTTCTCTATAACCCTTTCACCTGGACACGACAACGGTCTTAAATGTTAAATGGCCTTTTATTGTAGCTTGTTTGTGAATAACAGTTAATTAATAAATAAAGAGATACAAAGCCCATGCACCGATATTGGAGATATCATACGTTTAACCAGTTGTAACACAATAGCGAAAGAAATGAAAATGTGGCCACAGTGATAGCGAGTTGAGCTCAGGACATTTTTGCCGATATTCATTTTGACCTAACAACCAGTTTCAGCTGTTTAGGCAATCCATTATGGCGTTGTTTTTTGGTCATCTAATAAAAAGCCAGATCTTTGATCAATCAATATCAGATGCCGCAAAATGTTCTCCTTAATGACAGGTTATATTAAAGGGACGATCTGAAGAGCACTGAGACCAGAGTTTCGTTTACGCATCTAATTGTTTGCTTGTACTGCAGTTACTTCAAACTTGTCTCTCACGTCCCCAAAAGAGGGACACCTTAAAACAAAGCTAGGACCGTGAGACAGGACCCCTGAGCTGAACCTACTGGGTGGGATGAGAATCCACGTAGAATCGATTCCCGAGAGACCCGTCCGAAGCACCTTAACGTTTCGTACCCGTTTACGAAAGCTCTACATATTGTACTCTAATAACTATCATTACCTAGCGTTCAGCAGTTTTTAAAACTATTCTTGTTTTTCACTAATTGTTAAAAAATATAAGTAATGTTGATTCTTGTGG